CCTCACACGCATCAAAGGTATGCTCACCCAAGACTTCATCATGAAGGACATGGGTGAGCCCTCCACTACCTTGGTATGAACATCGTCAGAGATCGCCCATCCAAGTCTCTTCATCTCACACAGGTACACCGAGAAGGTCCTCTCAAGGTTTGGTCTCCTCAACTGCAACCCTGTCGAGACACCCCTTCCATCCGACTTCCTGCTGAGTCATCGAGCAAAGCATTGATCCATCTGAGCTTGAAAGTCAGGTCACAGAGCATGAGGGTGAGCTTGAGGATTTCGAGCTCCTTGAGCATATCGGTCATGACACCTATGCTCACATCCACAAGTCAGTCACGCCCCTTCAGCTCTCCCTCTACCAGAGCCAAGTGGGCAGCCTTATGTACGCTTCCATCTGCACCCGTCCTGATCTTGCCCATACTGTTGCCATGCTCTCCAATGCATGGCATCTCCCACACGCATGCATCTGCATGGGGCACATCGTGCCCTGCGCTATCTCAAAGCAACCTCTTCCTTTGGTCTCCTCTTTCAAGGGTCTGAGGATGCATGCATTGTATGGCTTCACGGATGCAAATTGGGCTGGGGATGTCACCACTCGCAGGTCCACTGGTGGATACATCTTCATGCTTGGAGGAGCGGCCATCTCCTGGCAGTCGAAGAAGCAAGGCTGTGTGGCACTATCATCTACAGAAGCAGAGTACATGGCTGTGACCCAAGGAGCCCGAGAAGCAGTGTGGATAAGAGGTCTCTTGAAGGAGCTTGACCTCCCACAGGAAAATCCTACTCCCCTCTTCATCGACAACACATCCGCAACCACTCTCACCAAGAATCCAGTTTTCCATGGGAGAACCAAGCACATGCACGCAGTATCACTATTTGGGAGCTAGTGGAGCAGAAACTCGTTGAGCCTCTTTCTGTGCAAAGCGACAAGCGGCAGACTTCCTCACCAAGGTGGTTGCTCGTGACACCTTCATCAACAACCGTGTTCAGGCAGGACTCGTTGCAGCCGCAGACGTGATGCAGATTTGATCCATCAATACATGAAGCAGTTGAAGCAGTTGCAGCAGTACCGTTGGAGGGTATGGGCTTGGAGTGAGGGGGGTGTTGTGAGTGGCACGTGATGCGCGTGCCACATTTCTCTCGCCACTCCAACCCCTCCCCTCCAAAACCGCTCGTTACAATTCTTTACCTACCCCAACCCATTTCCCACCAACCAAACCTACTTCTACCTAAAATTTAACTTTTCCAGCTCATCTCCTCCAACCTAAGGCCTCCCAACTACTCCTTAATTTCCCCAACTCTCATAATCATTCCTAGTCCACCTCAACCAAGCTTCCAAAAATCCTCCTATTCATCTCCAACTCCTACCTCAAGGCACATGACTCTTTCATGTGCTCTTTCTTCCTACTCATCCTCATCAAGAATTCTCCAAGTCATCTACTCCAACCAATAATCCTCCTCACATGTGCCTCAAGCACATTCCTCTCTCCCACTCATCAACCTCCACATGCCTTATTTATTCATTCCTTCCTTCCTATCCCAAGTCATCCAAGTTGCCATATCATCACAAGACTCTCATGATTCCTTACATTCCTTCCAACTCAACAAAGCTTTTCTTCTCCTTTTTTCTCCTTTCCAACTCATCCAAGTTTTCTCCAACACCACATGGTCTACAACTCCAAGTCACCAAAGGCTCAACAACATCACATGCTCCACTACTATTCATCTTCACCAAGAATCCTCTCCAACTTCTCAAGAAGTTTCTCAAAGTACAACAAGGCATCTCCAAGCTCTCTCCTCAAGCTCCCCTTCAAGTCTTCTTCAAGCTCCTCAAGTTCACACCACTACTAAGGCTCCTTGCTAGCATTCTTGTTCTATCTCTCTAAATGGTATTATCATGCTATCTTCTTCCTAGACTACTATGAGTGGTCTCTCTCTCATGCATGTCCTTGTATCCACCATGGATTACAAGGCTTGTACTATACCCTCTTTCATATAAGTTTATGCTCTCAAAGTTATCTCTCAAAGTTCCTCGTGTAGCAAGTAATCAAGCACTAATACGTCTTATACCCAACTTGAGTATAAGGTGCATTACCAAGCCACAAGTTTGTAGGAAGACTCTCCTCTTCAACACTCAACCTTGTGGCATCTTCACTCTTCACGTACAAGGCCCTCTCCTTCAACCACATCAAAGATTGTGGTCCCCTCTCAAGCTTGTGGTCTTCTCCCAAGCTCAAGCCCGAGTGCGAGTCCTCCTGTATCAAGAACCACTCATGAGATTCTACATCTCCTCTACTTTGTAAGACACACGTAAGTACCGTATTCCCCCATATAAAACAAATTACGTTCCCCCGGGTAGCTTGAGCGGGTATGGGTGTTTAATTTTTCTAGATATACTGTACAAAACACCCTACTGTCTGACGTGAAAACTTTTGAACACCCCCCTGCCACCTAGAATCTCCATTTTTGGCAGGAAACACCCGAATTTTGCGGTGTGTAGATGTGTGCTGCCATTCATTTTTTCCACTCCTGCTGGGGCAACCGTATGCACGTCAAAGCAAGTGGGGCAAACGAGCTCGTGGCCATAGCAACGCGGATATTAAGGTAGGAGTCGAATCTGCCCGAACGAAAACAAAAACACCGAGAACATTGAAACCTGAAAGTTTCATACTGTACTCGACTTTCGCGCGCCGCCAAATCAAATGTGAACTGATTGGTTGTTCTAACAGCATCCTCTCCGACACTGCACACTCAGTGCCAATGTGGCATGCAGATGGGCAATATCGTCCGGTATGCAATGAGATGTCAAAAGTGGGTATCTGACTCAAATGAAGGTGGTGATAAATGCACACTTGAATTCCAATTAAAAAATGCATATGCACATTCCATAACTCTTGGGTGTTATTTTTTTTTGCCTTTAATCACACCCAGCCCAAAATTTCGCTGCATTTTTATTAACACCATAGGGTGTTTCATATGGGGGAATACGGTAAGTCTCTTCTTCTTCACAAGCATCTCACCCTCGTCAAGTCCCCTTTTACTCACTTGAGTACCTTTCCTCTATTTCTTCACTAGCACATTATAATCCCATTTATATGTGCTACAGTTCTATACCGGTATTGCACTCTTATCCTATTCAACCATACAATCATATTCGTTTGTCTTTATCCCAATCCTTATCGGTTTCAGCTTGTCAACCCAAGGGCCAAGCGAGCTGCTGCTGTTCTCGAAGGTGAGCGGGATTCTGTTCGCATTTTGGTGCAGGGGGTCTTGTATGTGGTGTGGCGCACTCACATTGGGATATGATATTTTTTTCCCGTATGTGATACATGAAATCTTGGCCTCACAATCCCAAATTGCAGCTAGGTACCTGACCTGTGCCACAAGCTCAAAGGAAATGGATCAGTTGTCATTGTCAACTTATACATATATTTTTATGTAGAAGTTATTGGCTAGATATGGTATGTTCTTAGTGGGTACAGCCCAAACGCTATATCTCCCCTGTTCTCCTTCTTCTATTCATTCTCTCTAGTCTCAACAGTCATATGTTCGCATACTTATTGTCACAGGATCGAATGTGTCGAGGAAAGGTTGCACTATCGATTGATACAAGGCGCTTTTATACTTCCAAGGTACATCAGGTAACCAGCAGGGCTGACGTTTCAAAAAAACCCCCCCTGAGCTGTCGAATAAAAAAAAACGTTTACCCTGAGGGCTCAGGTTTAAAAAATTGCCTACCCTGATTTGTAAGGGTTCAGAAATCTGGAACCCTGAAAATCCCAGGGTTCACCGAGCGCGTTCAGGGTTGCCTTCAACACGAGGGGGGATTTAAAAATGGGGGAAAAAGGGGAGGGAATCAAACCGAGGGGAGGGGGAGAGCGAAACGGAGGGGAAGGGGGAGGATGGAAACATAGGGGAAGAGAAGAAGCGAAACGGGGAGGGAAAAAGTGGGGGTTGGGGGGTGGGGGAAGTTCGAAATACAGTCGAGGAATGGGAGAAGCGAAACGGAGGGGAAGGGGGGATCGAAACGGAGGGGAAGGGGGGATCAAAACGGAGGGGAAGGGGGATCGAAACGGAGGGGAAGGGGGGATCGAAACGGAGGGGAAGGGGGATCGAAACGGAGGGGAAGGGGGGATCGAAACGGAGGGGAAGGGGGATCGAAACGGAGGGAAGGGGGGAATCGAAACGGAGGGGAAGGGGGGATCGAAACGGAGGGGAAGGGGGGATCGAAACGGAGGGGAGGGGGAGTCGAAACCAAGGAAGAAAGGGGAGGGAATCAAAACCAAGATGCGAGGGGCGAAACGGAGGGGAGATGGGGAATCGAAATGGAGGGGAGGGGGAAACGAAACGGAGGGGGAGTGGGGGAGCGAAAATGGAGGGGAGGAGAATCGAAGTGGATTGGAGGGGGGAAGCTGGGTAATAGGGCGGTCGGAGAAAATTCGCGCCCTAGCAGCCCCCGGCTGGGAGATCTTGGACGTTGATCAACGTGACCATCTAACGGTTTAAGTATGTCGAAACGATCGCAAATCCGATCTTGACCGTTACATTTTCATAGACTTAGCTAATTTTGTGGGTTGTTGTTAGTGTGTAGGGGGGATGTCTGTACGACACATGACTTAGCCGATTTTTGTGGGTTGCTTGGTGTGTGAGGGAATGTTTGAGGACTTCACCAATTTTTGTAGGTTGTTGCGGTGGGGGGGAATGTCTCTGGAGATTGGGACTTCGCCTAAATTTCCGCATGTGAGCCACATGGATGTCGCACTCAGGGTTCGTACGCGTTACTCCCTGAAAACTCAGTGTTGGATAACGCAAACCTGAAATTCTCAGTGTTCACAGACATACAACCCTGAAGAGGTTAGGGTTCAAAAAAGCCCAACCCTGAAAATTAAGGTTGGCCAAAAAAATACCCTGTGAAATCAGGGAATCAGGGTAAAATACCCTGATAACGACAGGCCTGGTAACCAGGTCTATCCTATCCCAAGGATTAGACCCTTCTAGAAAATAGAATCACCCTGAGTATAGCCACGCGAGGCTATTGGCTTTAAGGGATTACGGCAGGATTACGCTAGATATAGCGCGCCAGTACACTCCGAGCCTGGTCGGTGATATAATGATAATAGCAGGATAAACCAAAAGGTTTATGGAAAAGGAGGAATAGGAATCCAAATGGAATGAGATAAAGACCAAATGAATCAGGATAAAAAGAGGAATGAAATGGAAAGGGAATATGGAAAGGAGAAAGGAATGGAACGGGGTCGTACTCTCACACTTATAGTCCCATAGGATTGTGAAATTGCATTGTTGTAGAATGCTTTATGTACATAAGGAAGGTGCCTGCACTACAAAAGATCCACTGCATGCATGTCGTCACGCATGGTAGGGTTGGAGTGAACAATCTCAAGAAAGTAACGTGGTTGCAAAAGAGTTCCCATTCAGCGACTGTCGTGTCTACCTCATCTCCTGATAGCTGCAGCAAGCAGTGCCCGGATGGTGTCACCCAGCAGCCTCATGACCTCCCCTAGCTTGGGCTCTGGGTTGACTTCCACCAAGTCCTCCTCCTCCTGCTCCAGCACCGGCTGTATGTGGCTGCTGATGGCGCTCACTAGCTGCGGGACTCCCTCTGCTGGCACTCTGCTGAGATCTCCCAAGCAGTCACGCAGCACCTGAGGGGCACAGGAGTGAAAGAAAGGAGAGATTAAAATGATCTTGAAATGTTAGGGAAGATGGGAGGGAGAGAAAAAGAGGAAGGAAGAAACCAGCAGGAGACGAGATCGCAAGGACTGTGCGGTTTTACTGACTCGCCTTGAGGGACTTATCTTGAATTTCCATCAGTTGTTGCCGCAACCTCCCCCTGTGCTCTTGGGTGTTCCTCAGCTGCTGCCGCAACCCATTCCGCTGCTGCGTCATCTGCAATGATTGCGTTACATGCCGAATTATTTCTTAAGAACAAGGGTTTCCCTTCTGAACGAACACGACATTCAAGAGATTATCTCAAAGTAAATGCATGCCCTTGCATGGAACATGCACGTACTTGCCTACATGCATACACATGCATGCACACACATGCATACACATGCACATAGATGCTTGCTTGAACACACAACTACACACACCTTTTTACAAGCATCCACACACATGCTCGCAGTTGCTAATGCGTTCTTTCTCATTACATCCTCGTCTACATTCCTCTGCCCGAAACCCCCCCAACGCCCCCGCCCACTGCCCCCCACCCATCCCCCTCTCTCCTCAAGTTCCTGCCCACATCCTTCCGTTTCCTCACCAGCCACCCCGGCTGCTTCACCCTCCTCACAGCAATATCCCGCATGGCATCATATCATCCCCATTTACCCTCCTTCTCTCCCCCCCTCTCCCCCCCCAATTCCCCCCACCTTCCCCCACCCCTCACCTCCTCAATCTCCGTGCCCACATCCTTCACTTTCTTCACCAGCCATCCAGGCTCCTTCACCCGCCGCTGCAGTTGCACCACCTCCCTGCTCAGCCGCTTCAACCGATCTTGCCACTCCGCATCCTGCTTCTTCACATTCTCAGCTCCCTTGCTCCCGCTTGCAGCTTCTCAACCCCCTCCTCATACCCCTTCACTCGGGCGTCAGATTCTGAAATTCCTCCGCCCTCTCCTCCAGAAGGTGTTTATAAACTCTAGCCCTCGCCTCCATCACCTCAGCCTCCTCTGCTGCCCTTGCAGATTCTCAAGCTGTCTCTCACATCCCCTCAGCTCCACTTCCAACTCCTCCAATTCCCTTGTTCTCACATCCAGCAAACTATCACACTCTCTCAACCTCGCCTCCTTATCAATCATATCAATTTCTATCGCTTGCGTCTTCCCAGCCTCGTACTTCTCCACTTCGTGTCCAGTCTCTCTATTTCCCTCGCCCTCTCCTCCAGCAAACTCTCGCACTCTTTTAACCTCGCCTCTTTAGCCGCCATTTCTATCCCTTGCACCTTCCCAACCTCTTGGTATTCTCTGCTTCAATCTTCGATCTCTCAGATTCCCACGTTCTCTCCTCCAGCAAACCCTCATACTCTTTCAACCTCGCCTCCATAACACCGATCTCTCTCGCTTGCACCTTCCCATCCTCCTTATAAGCCTCCACTTCGGTGTACAGTGTCTTGAAAACCCTCTCCCTCTCCTCCAGCAAACCCTCATACTCTTTCAACCTCGCCTCCTTGGCATCCATTTCTGTCGCTGCACCTTCCCAAGCTCTTGCAATTTCTCGACTTCGGTTTTCAATCTCTCTACTTCCTTCGTTCTCACATCCAGCAAACCTTCATACTCCTTTAACCTGGCCTTCTGAGCATCCATTCCTATCTCGTGCACCTTCCCAGCCTCCTTGTACTTCTCCACTTCGCTTTCAGTCCCTCTAATTCCCTCGCCTTCTCCGCCAGCAAACCCTCGCACTCCTCTACCCTCGCCTCCTTTGCATCCAGCTCCCTCGCTACCACCTTTCCAACCTCCTTGCATTTCTCCACTTCAAATACCAGTTTCTCTATTTCCCTCGCCCTTTCCTCCAGCAAACCCTCACACTCCTTACCCTCGCCTCCTGCGCCAACATCATCATCGCTTGCACCTTCCAGCCTCCTCGAATCTCTCCACTTCGGCACTTAGTTCCTCTAGGCTCCTCGTTCTCACACCCAGCAGACTCTCACACTCCCTAACCCTCCTCTTCAAACCCCCCGCCTCCCTTGCGTTTTCCTGCAGCCTCTCCTCCGCCTTCTCAAGCGCCTTGACCCGCACCAGCAGCTCCCCATTCACTGCTTGCAGCGCAACCAGCATCTCATGCTCCCTCGCTCTCGCCGCCAGTAGCCCTCAAGCTCCTTCACTCTAGCTTCCGCCTTCTCAAATCCCTTGATCTGTGCCGCCAGCTTCACGTTCACTGCTCGCATCGCATCCAGCATTCCCCGCAGTGACGTGGCTTCGGCTGACTGGCTGCACAGCTGCTGCAGGGCTTGTGCGAGCAGCTGAGTAAGCGCTGAGAGGGAAAGAGGGCGTGGAAAGGTGGCGACAATAAGAGAGGCTTCAGCTGCATTTCATGCAGAGACGTGACTTCAGACGACTGGCTGTGCAGGTGCTGGATGGCTTGTGCAAGCAGCTGAGTAAGCTCTGGTTGGAAAACAGGCGTGGGCGGAAGAGAAGAAAGAGCGTGAGCAACTCAGGTGTTGTCAAGTCATATAACTATTAAGCTAATATGACACTAACGAAAGCGCAAGGACACAGACTCTTAAGCTTGTTGTTCCGCACTCCCTCTCCTGACTTCCTACACCAAAACCCCCTATCCCAACCACCCCTCGACCATCCCCTACCATCACCTGCCTGTTTCCTCCTCTGCTGACTCTTGATCGATTGAGAACGCCCCTTGTTGTTTTGTTCTCCCTCGAGACAACCCCTCTCCCACCCACCTGCTCGTCCGCCCACCTACCATCATCAGCCGGCTTCCTTCTTTGCTGACACCAAGTCAGTTCCCCTTAAGTGGATCCACCTCCGCCTTTCCTCCACCTATATCCCCCTCGTCCGTCCACCTACCATCGTCCGCCTGCCTCCTTCTCTGCTGGCAGGTGATCAGTCAGTTGAGAACACCCCTACTTGTTCTCCTTCAACATACCCCCTCCCTGACCCAGTTTTGAGGCGCCTCAAAACTAGACGCCTCCCTGACCCACCAATCGTCCGCCTGCTACCTGCCTATCCCTCGGCCCCCCACGTACCAGCATCTGCCTGCTGCCTCCTCTGCTGGCAGTCGACCAGGTTCCGCTCGAGAGCATCCACGCCGCTGCTGCTCGCTGCCATCGCTCTTCAGACGACCTTCACACGTGAATTGAAGTGCATACGTGTGCGTGCGTTGGGGGGGGGGTAGGAGGAGGGGGAGAGGGGGGGAGGGGGGGGGTTGGGGGAGGGGGGAGGAGTGCTTGTGTGTGTGCGTGTGTGAGAGCGACAGAAAGGCATACCCCGCCATGATGCTGAAGGTTTACTCGAGAAATCCCATGTGCCGTGTGCCATGTGCCGTGTGCCATGTGCCATGTGCCATGTGCCGTGTGCCATGTGCCATGTGCCGTGTGCCATGTGCCGTGTGCCATGTGCCATGTGCCATGTGCCATGTGCCGTGTGCCATGTGCCATGTGCCGTGTGCCGTGTGCCATGTGCCATGTGCCATGTGCCATGTGCCGTGTGCCATGTGCCATGTGCCGTGTGCCGTGTGCCATGTGCCGTGTGCCATGTGCCATGTGCCGTGTGCCGTGTGCCATGTGCCATGTGCCATGTGCCATGTGCCGTGTGCCATGTGCCATGTGCCGTGTGCCATGTGCCATGTGCCATGTTCCGTGTGCCATGTGCCATGTGCCTGATTATTTTCTCCTACGACGCACCTGAGGGCGAAAAGGTCTTTAGTTGGATTGGATTGGCTCAGCGGAGGTGCGAGCTCGGAGAAGACATGCAGCTAGCGGTAGTCTCTTGCAGCAGAGGCAGGTGAGAATATCTCGCAGCAGTATCTTGCAGCGAGTTGGGTGAGGGTGGGTGAGGGTGGGTGACGGTGGGTGAGGGTGGGTGAAGAGGGGGCAGATCGTGAAGCGAGGGGAGGCCACGAAGGACGGAGCTGGCGAAGGGGAGCTCTCAGAGAAGCTTGCGGCGCAATCTGGTAACCAGGTAACTTGGCGGACGACTCGATGAGCTATGGGGAGATGGGAGGCCTTCGAGGCTAAACGAAAACCGTGGAAAGCGAACACGCCTCGTGGCGTTTTCTGCGTCGACTGGGAACGGAGGTTTAGAAGCAATCGATGGTAGCCGAGGAGCGAGGCGGAGGGAGGCAAACCGCCGCAAACGAGCTCAGGGATACTTGGCCCAGGATTGGGAATTCGTCGGGCGCAAGGACGTGGTGCTACGCGGTCTTATGCAGTCGTATGCGGTCTTACGTGGTCTTGCACTCGACTCGTGGCGTTGTCTAACGATGATGCTGTATGCTCCGCTTCAAGGCGCGTATTATCCAAATCACGACCTCAATAACGAACTCAGGGCGATCTGCGCCAAAGTCTCCTACTATCGATAAACGCAGGAGCTGGTCTGAGGCGCCGAGGATGCGAGGGAATGGCGCACGGAGCGCCGGGAGGGAACTTGTTCGCGCGCGCAGCGCCCGCGACGCCCATGGTCCGGTAGCGCAACGACGCGCCGCAAGTCACTAGTCTCTAGGCAGTCACGAACTTGCAGACTGGTTGCTGACAATTACCGAAGCCGAATCCCCTCTGCAGGTGGTGTCTCCATATTTGTTTCCGACCAAGCCTGATGGTGCGCGTGTGTGCGTGTTTGTGGCGAACAGGTGCTCTCGAGGTCAGTTTTGGGGAATCGGGGATTGTGCTTTTCTGAGTACAGTGGGACCTCCGAGCAGTGCGAGTGCCAGGTGCTACAGATAAGAAAACGAGTTCTACGAAGGCTCATTATATACTTCATATGCCTTCAACGTTGTCCCTCCATTATGAGTTCTCTTTTGCGTGATGCTAAAAAGGAAGCCTCCATTGCGTGAGATAATGAAGAATTGATTATGACAAACGAGTGAACAATTTCAGCAAACTTTATTTGGAGCTTTATTTTTACCATCCACTACTATGAAATCAAGTAGCTTGTAGCCTGATCGAAAAAGTGCGGATTTCTGCAGGCCCTAACTCCACCACAAGAGTGGCAGGATCCACAAAGGGTCCTTGGGTCGAGGCTGTATCCTTAAAATTATTACTATCACCTTCTCTTCCAACTTCATCTTCTACCTGCACTTGCCATGATAGAGGTTGCCGCATTTCTGCTCGTCTCTGATTGGCCATCAGACTCAGTTCTGCTACCTCTTGAATCTGCTAGGGGTGGGTGGGGATGTGGCAGTCAGGGATGGAACAATCGGGGGTATGCTCGTGGGGGGTGTTCATGGGCAATGATTGTGGACAGGCTAACATCCAGCCCTTCGGTTGGATAGTACCGTAGCATTTCAGGCTAGCATGCCAGCTCTTATGCCAGCCGTAGACTACGTTCCCTGGTCAGCTTTCTGACAGGACGAGTTAAGCAAGTAGCTGTGGCCGAAGCATAAAGGGGTGTGTGCAAGATAAGTTGTGAGAGCAGGGGAGAAGGCAGAAAAACCAGTAACATGTCCCGTTGCAAACAAGCACTTGTCAAGGGGTAAACACAAGGGCGTGTGAGAGAAGGGGGGAACGTAGGGTAACCAGGCCAGCTACCTTTCTCGCTGCAAACAAGCGGCGAAGGTCCACATGGGCGGGGCGAGACAAGGCAGCATGCTCCCCAGGCTGGAGGCGCAGAAGATAGCAGGGTGTGAGACAAGTGAGGCACAGATCAGGTGAGAGAGGCGCGGGGCGTTGAGGCGCCTCAGGTAGTAGCCAGCATCAGTGTAGATATTAGGGTAAAGGAGAAGTGAGGCGGAGATAAAGGGAGAGGAGAGTGGGGCCCTGAGAGTGGGGTCCCGGGTGGGGTCCTGAGTGGAATCTTGAGTGGATGTCAAGATGAGGTGGGCGAGATGGGGCATGAGCGGCAGCAGGAGAGGCGAGATGAGAGGCAGGATGAATAAGCGGAGAGTGGGACATTATGGAATGCTCTGGATGGCAGCTTGCAGAGTGTGGAGTGCATGTGAGTGAGGAGAGGGTGTGAGGAGAGGGTGTGAGGAGAGGGTGTGAGGAGAGGGTGTGAGGAGAGGGTGTGAGTGAGCCGGGGTGGTAAGCGTGGAGGGGGTGAAAGGGATGTGTGTGGGGAGGGGATGTGAGCGGAAGGGATGTGAGTGCGAAGGGGATGTGAATGAGCGGATGTGAGTGTGGGACTCACCTCATAGAGGTGAGCAAGTCTCACAACAACCTCGCTGGGTGAAAGCTCCTGCGTGTGATGGTGGGGAGGGAGAGGGCGTGTGAAGGAGCAGACATGGTGAGGGAGTGAGGGATGGGGGAGTGGTGACAGCACGCGATGATTGGTCAGTCTCACATCACAACAACCTCGCTGGGTGAGAGGTCCTGTGTGCGATGGTGGGAAGGCAAGGTTACGGGGGTATTGAAAACTGTGGGATCAGCCGCATATGATGGCAGGGATCGGCCGCATGTGATGGCAGGGATCGGCCGCATGAGACGGCAGGCTGGGGATGCGGATGAGAAGTGACGAGGCAACACAAGGGGCGAATGCAGCCAGCATGACGTGCTTTACTGGAGACGACACATGATTGACACATGATTGACTAGTGCATTGCAGAAAGTGGCGGAGTAGACGACACACGTAGCCAAGCTATGTGATCTGACAAGCAGGTTGATCTCACCTGCAGCGAGATGACTGCAACGTTCAGAGGGACAGCGTAGGAGAAAGCACTGTCAGGGTTGGTTGGGCGTGACGTGGAGGATGGTTGGGAGAGGGAATAGTGCCACGTGTAGCTGCCTTGTGCTGCCTTGATGGACTCCTGTGTCTGCAGGCGATGGGGTGGAGAGAGGGGGTTGGGGCGGATGGAGGGTTGAAGCGGGAGTAGGGAGCCGATGGATCTCCATAGCAAGGGCAGCTGTTCTTGCATGGAAAGGCAGAGAGCTTTATGCAGGGCAAGGGGAGGGCAAGGGAGGGCAAGGGATGGCAAGGGAGGGCAAGGAGGAGGGCAAGGGAGGGGCAAGGGAGGGCAAGGGAGGGGCAGGGGGCAAGGGAGGCAAGGGGGAGGGCAAGGGAGGGCAAGGGAGGGCAAGGGAGGGCAAGGGAGGGCAGGGAGGGCAAGGGAGGGCAAGGGAGGGCAAGGGAGGGCAAGGGAGGGCAAGGGAGGGCAAGGGGGAGGGCAAGGGAGGGCAAGGGGAGGGGCAAGGGAGGGCAAGGGAGGGCAAGGGAGGGCAAGGGAGGGCAAGGGAGGGCAAGGGAGGGCAAGGGAGGGCAAGGGAGGGCAAGGGAGGGCAAGGGAGGGCAAGGGAGGGCAAGGGAGGGCAAGGGAGGGCAAGGGAGGGCAAGGGAGGGCAAGGGAGGGCAAGGGAGGGCAAGGGAGGGCAAGGGAGGCAAGGGAGGGCAAGGGAGGGCAAGGGAGGGCAAGGGAGGGCAAGGGAGGGCAAGGGAGGGCAAGGGAGGGCAAGGGAGGGCAAGGGAGGGCAAGGGAGGGCAAGGGAGGGCAAGGGAGGGCAAGGGGAGGGCAAGGGAGGGCAAGGGAGGGCAAGGAGGCAAGGGAGGGCAAGGGAGGGCAAAGGGAGGGCAAGGAGGGCAAGGGAGGGCAAGGGAGGGCAAGGGAGGGCAAGGGAGGGCAAGGGAGGGCAAAGGGAGGGCAAGGGAGGGCAAGGGAGGGCAAGGGAGGGCAAGGGAGGGCAAGGGAGGGCAAGGGGAGGGCAAGGGAGGGCAAGGGAGGGCAAGGGAGGGCAAGGGAGGGCAAGGGAGGGCAAGGGAGGGCAAGGGAGGGCAAGGGAGGGCAAGGGATGGTAAGGGAGGGCAAGGGAGGGCAAGGGAGGGCAAGGGAGGGCAAGGGAGGGCAAGGGAGGGCAAGGGAGGGCAAGGGAGGGCAAGGGATGGCAAGGGATGGAGAAAGGGCTGACCTGAAGAGCGAAGGCGAGCTGAAGAGGGGATATGAGCCGCTGGGCGTGCTGCCTCCGCCACTCACTCCCCCGCCCCAACCCCACCCCTTCCTTCCCTTGCTTCCCTCCCTCTTTGGGGTCCGTCGTAGCATGCAGCCCAAAGCGCAGGGCGCCCACAACCTGCAGGGGAGTGGGGTAATGGTTATTGGCATGTGGAATGAAGGGAAAGGTTGTTCGCCTGTTACCCTCTCTCTGCCCCTTCCCTCCCTTGTTACCCTGCCTCTTCGGTGTCCGTGTTGGGGTGCAGCCCTACGCGCAGGTAACCCAGTGCCTAGGAGGGATGGGATGTTTGCTGCTGAATGGGATTGGAGGGAGAAAATGGGTGGAGGAGACGAGGGGGAGGGTGGGATTGATGGGGAGGTGGGTTGTTGAGATGGGGTGAATCGCATACTCGATGTGAGGGAGCAAGACTTGCCCCCACAGGAATGCTCTCTCCTAATGGTTCCTCCGCAAGACATGGAATCAAAGCAGGCTCTAGAAAAATATGGAATCTCAAGGTCGCGCGAATCGCATACTCACCGTGAGTGGGCGAGTCTTCCCCTCCACGGTAATGCTCTCTTGTAGCGGCTCGCCCACACCCTTACCGTCCAGCGACTGGAGGGCCCTGGTGGGGTGAGGAGAGGGGCATGGTTCTCGAGTAAACTAAAACCGGAATGAAAACAGATGTCACGTGAAACGGACAGACCCCCACCCCACAATTCACCACACCCTTGCCGTCCCCCGATCTCAGGGTCCTGGTGGAGTGCGGGGGAAGACGGGGGAGCAAGGATGGCATAGCGTTTGGCTCAGGATAGGACTGTGAGCCGTGTGGGTGGGAGGCACTTCGATTGGATCCGCACCACATCAGCTTTAAGTGCTGTGAGCAACGAACAACCCAAAGACTCTCCTCTCCATCCCTGCACAGTGTATTTTTGAGGCGCCTCAAGAATAGACAAACAGCCACCCCTTCATGCCTGCACCATGGTGGCGTGGCACTGCAAGCACCGTCGTCAGAGAGCTGGCATCATTCGCACATTCTTCTTCAACGCCGTGTTACACCAACGGTTGAACAGAATGGTCGAACAGAATGGTTGGACAGAATGGTTGAACAGAATTGTCGAACACATTCTGCAGCACAGAATGGTTGGAGATTGTGGTGAAAGGTGCCACCATTCTATCATGCCATCACCTGTGCTACAGTGCAGTACATTGCTGCACTGCATTGCTACAGTGCCATGCTACAGTGCTCTCACCTGTGCAGCATGACCTCCAGCTGGCCGGCTGCCAGGCTGGCAGCACCTGCCGCCCGATCCACGAGCACCGACAGCTGGGCTGCTTTGTCTTTTATGAACGCTCCGACTGTGAGCTGGTGGGGAAAAGAGGGGAAGGGACGAGGAGCGAAGACAGAAGAGGACAGATGGAGACAGAGGAAAGGCGTTTTTATCACGTGCATTGACTCTGCTCTGCTTGCCAAAGTACTACTTCAATGTCAACCTAGTCAAGCCTCAGCCTCAGCGCAGCTTGACTAAGTTCAATCCAGTTGACTCCGGTTGGCCCCAGTTGACCCTGCAGCTGACTCTGGTTGACTCTGGCTGACTCTGGCTGACTCTGGCTGACTCTGGCTCTGGTTGCCTCCAGATGGCTCTAGTTGACTCTGGCTGACTCTGGTTGACTCTGCTTGACTCACCGGGTAGTAGTTGCCTCCTATGGGGTCGCTGACTTGGAGCTTCCAATCCAAGCGGTAGTCCACCACCTGAAGGTGGGGTGGTAGGGAGGATGGTTGGGATGGTTGGGATGGTTGGGATGGTTGGGATGGTGGGGATGGTGTTTTGGGACTTGTGAAGACGAGCGTGTGGTACTGAAACAAGGTTCTTAGGCACGCAGGGAACATCGAGGGACACCCGGCAGACAATACGCCTCGATGGCATACTGGCGCTGCAGTAGCAGACAACTCCACCCGTCTGCTGCTGCTGCTGCTTCATTGAGGTGGAGCAGTAACCCATCATTTGTGAGCGAGTTCCCCTTCCAAGCACCGACAATTGACTTTTGAGTCGACTCAAAAGTCACCTCTTTCCAGGCACCAACAATTGCTTGTATGCGAGCAGGCTCACCATTTGATGCAGCTGCTGCCATTGGAGCGCTAGTACAAGGTCCTGCTGCTGTCACTGGCAGCATCCAACGGAGCAGTCCCTTAGGTGTGCAAGGAGCCAGGGACCAGATATAGCTAGCGACCTCTCACCCGTTTGATGCAGCTGCTGCATTTGGAGTCGGAGTGGAAGGCCCTGCTGCTGTTGATGGGCGCAGCTAAGCGAGTGTTAAGGAGGTCTCAGCATGTATCTATATGCACACTCACTCACCCGCCTGTTGTAGCTCCTGCTGTTGGAGTCGGAGTAAGGTCTTGCTGCTGTTGCTCCTGATAGGAGTAGTGCGTAGAGGAGGTTGCAGCATGTACTTATATCTATGCACGTACTCTCACTCACCCGTTTGATGTAGCTCCTGCCGTTGGAGTCGCTATAGAAGGTCCTGCTGCTGTTGATGGGCGCAGTGAAGCGAGCCATCACCTCGTGGTTGCGGCCCTTGGCGGGGAGCGGGCCCACCTGAGGCAAACACGTCGATTGACAAAATGAGGTGATTAAGAACAAACAGCGCATGAATGGATGGCCTACAGCGCATGAATGGATGGCCTACAGCGCATGAATGGATGGCCTACAGCGCATGAATGGATGGCCTACAGCGCATGAATGGATGGCCTACAGCGCATGAATGGATGGCCTACACATCACTCAAGTCAAGCGGGCTAACGCTTCGTGAGACTATTCGGTAGAGCATTGGGATATGCTTGGGTGGTTTCCATCCTGTGCCATTTTTGAGGCGCCTCAAAAATCGCATCGCGAGAATATTAGGTCGAGCATTGGGAGACGATTGGGTGGTTTCCATCCTGTGGCATGCCAACTGTTTCGCCATCTGCTGGTTGGACTCGTGGCAACAAGCATCACTTGATGCGTCTTTCTGCTTTGCAGACGTGAACAGCTCACTCTCCTCCTGTATACTCACTCCATTCGCACATTATTGCGCACCCACTTCATTCGCATCATTCTCACTTCACATTGCATTCTAGAGGCGACTTGGTATGCACTGCACTGAACTGAACGGCACTGCAGTGCACACATCTGGTAGTGCACTGCACTCACCGAATAGTGCAGCTCGGCATAGTCTTGTCCGGGATACACTCTGAAGACCTGGGAGTTGGGAGCAGTAAGGGGCGACACGTGGAGTAGGAGGATGTGGACGGAGTAAGCTATGATGAGCATAATGCAGCAGCGCTGTATTCACCGGAGTGCAGCGCTTCTAAGGCACCCGGAAAGCAGACTCGGGGATGACGTAGTGTGGTCGAGGAGGCACACGTGGAAGCTTGAATGTGGAAGTCCGTACATACGAGGAGTGAGTGAGAAGGTGCACAACAGCACTGCACACTCGCCTCACAGTGCTCGAGTCAGTGGTAGCTCACCTCGCAGTGCTCGAGTCAGTGGTAGCTCACCTCGCAGTGCTCGAGTCAGTGGTAGCTCACCTCTGAGATCCACGGAGTGACCTTGCGAGTGAACTCCTCCACGATTGGTCCACGCTGGATGTGAATGGGCACCTGATGCCACGTCAGCAGCAGCAGCAGCAGCGAAGGTGAGAAAGGGAGGAATGTGCGGCGCTGAAAATGCTTGAACGACCACGGACCGAACATGAGGCGTCTCAAAAATGGACCGAACAACAGTCAGCCCCTTTCCCTCTCCACCCGTGCAGGGCTGCTTCTGAGGCGTGTGGAAACCAGAATCACTCCCTTTTTCTCTCTTTCTCCCATGCCAAAGGCCCAGTATGGACCTTGTGGCTGGCATCGGTGCAAGGCGTTGAGGATGTACGCGCCACCACTGCATGAGGCTACTCCATCATAGTGGTGTTGACTGCCACGGTGACTGTCAACACTAAGAGCAAGGCGAACTGGGCTGACCTGGTCAGTGCGATCGGTGGGCTGACCTGGAAGCCACGCTTGGTGATGGGCTCGGCGGGTTGGGAGGCCTCGAAGATGTATGCACCACCACTGTATGAGGCGTACTCCATCATAGTGGCGTTCACTGGCATCGACATGTGCTGTCGTGGCATCACATGCGGATGACGTGGCAGGGGATGCGGATGGGATGGGGGCACCAGAGCGGAGAAACTGGTTACTTGTAGCAATGCGGGTGTGCTTGTAGCAATGCGGGTGTGCTTGTAGCAATGCGGGTGTGCTTGTAGCAATGTGGGTGTGCTTGTAGCAATGCGGGTGTGCTTGTAGCAATGCGGGTGTGCTTGTAGCAATGCGGGTGTGCTCTGCGCATCCCACGGGCATGGGTGAGAAGCAGTGGCATGTGCTTGATGGTGTGTGTGTGTGTGTGTGTGTGTGTGTGTGAACCATGTGGTGCAAGTATCACCATGAGGGAGGGTAGTTGCCAACTTGCCATGGCTCCTGGCTGATGATAGCAGAGGAGCTTCCAATCCAATCACTCTCTTCGGTCACAACCCTCACACCACACCGCCCACACCCCTCGCACTCCGCACCCCACCCCTCCCCCCCCGCCTTCGCACCCCTCACACCACCCACACACCTCACACCGCTCACACCCCTCGCACCACCCACACCCCTCACGACGAGCTCGTCTGAGCCACTTGCACCCCCGGAGGCCAACTCCGTCCGCTGCATTCCCAGAGCCGACTTGGAGAAAGGGATGCGCAACAGGTAGCCGCACCCTAGTCGCTTCACGTACCATTCACTTCAGTCACTCCACTCACCGAAATCTCCCCTGAGCCACTTGCACTCGGAGAGACCAGCTCCATCCGCTGCATGCCCAGAGCCGACTTGGAGAACGAGACGCGCAACGCCGCCTGCTTCCCACTGTCCCTCGAAGCACCAGCAGCACCGCCACCACCAGAGGCCCCGGCACCCTGCCATCCTCCCAGCACCACGGTGTCAACCCCCTCCTGCCCGCTCCCTCCTCCTCCACCTCCCGTCTTGTCCTCCTCTGTTCCCCCCCCACCCTGGAGCTGCCTCCCTCCCGTGTCGCCACCACCCATCTCTCTCTCTACTCCTCCACTCCCGCCCATCCTCCGCCCTCTAGCCTTCCTCCCCCTCTCAGCCTTGCTCGGTTTCTTCTGCGCCGTCGCTGCCCCAGATCGTGCTGCTGTAGTGCCGGCTGCCGTATTGCTCCATGCCTCACTCACGTGCGCCCGGCCTGGGGTGTCTGCATGGGGGGACCAGGGGACGGTAGGAGAGGTGGTCACTGCCTCACATTGTGCTGCAGTGCCAGTCGCCGCAGTCGTCCATGGCGCACTGGCGTACAGCCTGCCAGGGGAGTGCGCAATGGGGGATGGGAGGTGGCATGAAGAGATGGCGTCCACGTGCGTGCTGCCTTGGCCCTTGGCCCCTGCTGCGCCACACAGTGTTGCTGCAGCACCAGGCGCCGTGTGGCTCCCTGCTTCACTCATGTGCGCCCCGCCTGGGATGTCTGCATCCAGGGAATGGGGGGATGGGGGAATGGGGGAATGGGGGAATGGGGGAATGGGGGAATGAGGAAATGTGGAATGTTGCTCACTAGCTTGGTTCTTCCACCAGCAGCCGAGCAGCAAATCTGGTGCTAGCCATACCCTGGCTTGCAGGAGCATCAATTACAAACAAGCTACCTAATCCGAGGGGGAGAACCACCGCTCTGAACTTTAGTGACGGCACCGCCTGCAGCTGTTGCTGCTTCTGCTGCGTCCGCTGGGTAAGAGGTGCACCTTGGGTGGCTGGAGAGACAAAGAAGGTGGCGTATCCCAGAGGAGGCACCTCGGCTCTGAACACAAGCGACAGCACCGCCTGCTGCTCCTCCTCCTTCTGCTCCTGCTCTTGCCTTTTCCGATGCTTCCTCTTCCTCTGCTGGCTCGGCTGCGGCCACTGCCCATCCTCCAACTCCTTCCACTCCCCCTCCTCTCCCGCCTCCTCCCCTTCCTCTCCCGCCTCCTCCCCTACTTCCTCCCCTCCCGTGCCCCCCGTGCCCGTGTAAGCAGCGATGTAGGTGGCACGGGTGGTGGGGGAGAGGAGTGTCTCCCTGAGCACTTGAGAGGGGATGGGGGAGCCAGAGGCGTCGGTGACTAGGAGGTTGGGGGATGAAACCTGTTCACGAACGCATAGGGAAGGAAGAAAGAGTGTAAGCAGCGATGCAGGTGGCAAAGGTGGTGGGGGAGAGGAGGGTCTCCCTAAGCACTTGAGAGGGGAAGGGCGGCGTGCCAGAAGCGTTGGTTACTAGGAGGTTGGGGGATGCCACCAGGTGTTCAACAGAGAGGAAAGAGGATGAGAATGTGTCAGCAGGGATGCAGGTGGAGCGAGTGGAGGCAGCAAGGAGTGCTTCCTTGAACATTTGATAATAGAACTTGCATGGCCGGTGTAAGCAGGTGTGCGAACCAGTGGATTCGTGCATCAGTCGTTACAAGTGAGCTACATGTATCAGGTGAGGGAGCAGACAAACGGAATATACTTGGCCTCTGCTTAAGCATACCAGTGAGATCCAAAAACAGAGGGGGGGCGAGTAGTGTGAGAGTTCAGAAGCAACAGAAGCGTACTGGGAATCGAATGACCTCGGAGCGAGGCCAGGCAAGAGGGTTGATGGCCACCACAACCTGTAGATTACACCGATGGTATGGCGGGGCGGTAGGTGGAGTGCGCGAGGGAGGGAGGGAGGGAAGGACGAAAACGGGAAGATAAACGGACAGGGGGATGAATGAAGGGAAGTGGGGAGGGGGGGAGGGGGGAGCAAGAGAAGCTCGTGCAGATTGAGGAGCAATATGCAGGGGAGGGGGATGAGGAGCGGGTGAAGGACAGAAAGAAATGGATGGATGCATGGTTGGACGTAGGTGCATAGATGGTTGCACACACACGCGGATGGATGCACACACACGCGGATGGATGCACACACACGCGGATGGATGCACACACACGAGCATGGATGCACACACACGCGGATGGATGCACACACACGCGGATGGATGCACACACACGCGGATGGATGCACACACACGCGGATGGATGCACACACACGCGGATGGATGCACACACACGCGGATGGATGCACACACACGCGGATGGATGCACACACACGCGGATGGATGCACACACACGCGGATGGATGCACACACACGAGCATGGATGCACACACACGAGCATGGATGCACACACACGAGCATGGATGCACACACACGAGTAGACATGAGCAAAACCGGGTAATTACCCGACCCGACCCGGTTTTGCCCTACCCGCAATCGGGTCCGGGTCGGGTCGGGTCGGGTAATTTCCGGGTAATGTTTGGAGGTCTGTTACCCGACCCGACATTTTAATACCGGGTAATTGGGTACCCGTCTGTCGGGTCGGGTATACCCGACCCGCATTTAATTGAAGTCGGGTAATATTACCCGGGTACCCCTAGGTGGCTGTAAAATTCAGCAAACACAGAGTAACAAACCCAAAGTCGGGTCGGGTACCCGCGACCCGACGGGTAATAAATTACCCGACATTTCGGGTAATTCTCGGGTAACGGGTATGCATTACCCGGCCCGAGTACCCGACCCGACCCGGCCGGGTAATTCGCCAAAATCCTATTACCCGACCCGGCCAAAATGTCGGGTCGGGTCGGGTACCCGACCCGACCCGGCCGGGTAATTCGCCAAAATCCTATTACCCGACCCGGCCAAAATGTCGGGTCGGGTCGGGTACCCGCGACCCGACCGGGTAAAATGCTCAAGTCTACACACGAGCATGGATGCACACACACGAGCATGGATGCACGCACACACACGAGCATGGATGCACACACACGAGCATGGATGCACACACACGAGCATGGATGCACACACACGAGCATGGATGCACACACACGCGGATGGATGCACAAACACGCGGATGGATGCATACACACGAGGATGGATGCATACAAATACGATATTGGAAGGATTAATACATGGTTCGACACAAAAATACATCGTTGGATGTTAAATTGTCGTGTGGGATGGCATGTGGGATGGCATGTGGATGGCATGTGGGATGGCATGTGGATGGCATGTGGATGGCATGTTCAGCGGCATGCACACTACCAGGGTCTGGCCTTGCTGCAGGGCGGATTCAGATGGCGGGCAGTGGGAGAGGTTGAGCAGAGGGCACTGAGGGGGACAAGTGGGAAGGGAAAGGGCGGGGATGGCGGAGGAGAGGAGGGGAAAGCAGCAAAGAAAACATAGCCGGTCAAGCACAGTGGTTCGATTCGCAGATGGAAACGGTAAGGTAGGAATGGCTGAGAACCTGAGATCCTCGACGTCTCACAATGTGCCTCGTATAGATGGACTTGACAATCGCAGCGTAGCAAAGAAACGGCATCGTTGCTGACACACCTTCACGCCACCATGGATATGACATCACATACCATCTTCAAGTCCAGCAATGGCAGCTGCTGTCTTCCACCCTCCGTATTGCCATCACCGTCCGTGCTGTCCTCATTGCTTGCCGCATCTTCCCCACCCCTGCCGTCTTTCAGTCGCCTCCGTCCCCTGCTAGCTACCACCTCCTGCCCTCTCCTCCCATCCGGGCGGCTGCCCTCTGCACCTGCACTTGAGCCTGTGCCATCCGCAGAAGCGCGTGTGCCATCAGCAGCAGCGCGTGTGCCATCAGCAGCAGAGCGTGTGCCATCAGCAGCAGCGCGTGTGCCATCTACAGCAGGGCGTGTGGCCTCCACAGCAGGGCGGGCACTGGTCCCATCAGCTGCAGTCGAAGAGGATTCAACCTGCTCTGGCCCACCAGGAGACAGGCCAACCAGACCAGCTTCTCTCTCCTCGCCCATTACAGGCTCAGCAGGCTGCAGCGATTCCGCATCAAAGACCTGCTCTGGGTCGAGGAACCCCTCTTGGTCGCCATCCAGGGGAGGGCCGTCCGACAGGCCGGATCCCAGGCTCTGCTGCTCGCCCGCACCATCGCTCTCGGACTGCAGCTCAGCGGCGCCTAGTGCCTGCTGAGCCTCAGTGGCCAGCAGAGGGTCCTCAGTGCCTTCAGTATCCGCCATGCCCTGTGCCTGCTCGTCCTCCGCTTCGTTCTCGTCGTGCGCCTGGTCGGCATAGTCCACTTCCTGCTGCTGCTCGCCCGAGTAGTCTGAGCTCGGGGGAAACGCAGCAGCAGCGCCAAGCTCCTGAGTCGGCTCAAGCGTAGGCTCCTCCTGCTGATCGCCCGAGTACTCCGTGCTGGGCGGCAAGGGCGCGCCGAGCTGCGTGAAGGCAGGGGGGTTGAAGAGGCCCACCTGGTTCCAGCCCCACCCGCCCTGCCCTGTGGGGGACGGCTTGAAGGTGAACTCCACGGCAGGGGAGACAGAGGCGTTGGGCAGAGATTTGGGGATGGCGCCTCTGGTGATGAGGTGGGTGATAGCTGATGTGAGCACAGCGGATGCCTGCACATAGTCATGGGAGGGGAGTGAGAGGTGGGAAGGTTAGATGAGCAAGAGTGGTGCTGGGTGGGTTGAGGGCGGGGGGCCTGAACAGACCCATCTGGTTCGAGCCCCACCCGCCCTGCCCTGTCGGGGACGGCTGGAACGTGAACTCCACGGTGGGGGATACAGAGGCGTTGGGCGGAGAGTGAAGGGTGGCGCCTCTTGTTATGAGGTGAGCGAGTGCCGAAGTGAGCACAGTGGATGCCTGCACGTGGACATGGGAGGGGGATGGGAGATGGGATGGATACGTGAGCCACAGGCTACAGCCGTCTGCGCATGGTTCGATGGGGCTGTTGTATGGTTGGAGCCGCGGTGAGGGCCTACAGTGAGAGGTGTGGTGCTGGTGTGCCGTTCCTGAGGCGCTGGCTTTCAAGCCTATGCATGCATATGCATGCATGCGCTATGCTGTGGTGGCGGGCACATTGTGAAGGTATTCGTTCGAGCATGCACGCACCCCTGCACTTCACCCTCTCACCTCTACCGCCGCTCGGTGCAGCCTGGCGCAGTAGTCGTCGTTCACGTGCTGCTGCGCCGTGCCGGTGATGCCATCGTGGTGCTGCACCACTGCCACCGCCTCCTCCAGCCGAAACGTGCTCGCCACACGCACCTTCCTCCCGCCCTCCCACCCCTCACCGCTCTTGCCTCCCCGCCCCTCACTGCTTCCATTTGCTCTCTTCTCTCGCCCCCCCTTGCTGGCAGCACTCCCCCCCCCTTCCTGCTGCTCCTCTTGCCTCTCCTCCTCGCCTGACTCCACGTGACCCGCTTGCTTCTCCTCAAGAGTTGATGCCCCCATGTGCGGGTCGAAGGACAGGTGCTCCAGCACCACCATGCGCCCTGTGGCCATGCCCCATGCCTGCAGTGCCTGCTTGCCTACCGCTGCCTCCAGTATTGTGGTAGCCTGCAGGGGCATGGGGGTTATGAGGGCGGTAAGGGGATGAGTAGGGTGCTCAAGTGAGGGACGCAAAACAGACAAGGGGAGATGCCCAGGGCCATCATGCGTCCTGCTGCCGTGCCCCATGCCTGCGGTGACTGCCTGCTTGCCTACTGCCACTTCCAGTAATTTCGTGGCCTGGGGGTGATGGGAGGGAGCACCAAAATACCACCCTGACTCATCAACCTCAAGGGAAAGGTGCGGGGCAGCTGGGGAGAGGTGCGGGGCAGCAGGGAAGAGGTGCGGGGCAGCAGGGGAGAGGTGTAGGGCAGCAGGGGAGAGATGCAGGCAGCAGGGGAGAGGTGTAGGGCAGCAGGGGAGAGGTGCAGGGCAGCAGGGGAGAGGTGCGGGGCAGCAGGGGAGAGGTGCAGGGCAGCAGGGGAGAGGTGCAGGGCAGCAGGGGAGAGGTGCGGGGCAGCAGGGGAGAGGTGTAGGGCAGCAGGGGAGAGATGCAGGCAGCAGGGGAGAGGTGCGGGGCAGCAGGGGAGAGGTGCGGGGCAGCAGGGGAGAGGTGTAGGGCAGCAGGGGAGAGGTGCAGGGCAGCAGGGGAGAGGTGCAGGGCAGCAGGGGAGAGGTGTGGGGCAGCAGGGGAGAGGTGTAGGGCAGCAGGGGAGAGACGCAGGCAGCAGGGGAGAGGTGCGGGGCAGCAGGGGAGAGGTGCAGGGCAGCAGGGGAGAGGTGCGGGGCAGCAGGGGAGAGGTGCGGGGCAGCAGGGGAGAGGTGCGGGGCAGCAGGGGAGAGGTGCGGACCGTGCGGGGCAGCAGGGGAGAGGTGCAGGGCAGCAGGGGAGAGGTGCAGGGCAGCAGGGGAGAGGTGCAGGGCAGCAGGGGAGAGGTGCAGGGCAGCAGGGGAGAGGTGCAGGGCGGTAGGGCTCACCAGCAAGAGAGAGCTGCAGGAGCGAGCGAACTGCTTGAAGGTGGGGCGGCTGCTGAAGTACCCCGTCCAGTAGGAGGCGCCGTCCTCCGCATAGCTGCAGGGAGGGGCGGATGGACGGACGGGCGAGAGGAGTGGAGTGGATGGGTGAGCAGGGTCAGTGAGGGATGAATAGTTGGGCGCAATCGAATGAAGTACCCCGTCCAGTAGGAGGCGCCGTCCTCCGCATAGCTGCAGGGAGGGGCGGATGGGAGGGCACGGGGAGAGAGGGAGTGGGGAGAAGGGGGATGGATTTGTCGGCGCCCTTTGAGGCAGTATCCCGTCCCGTAGGAGGCACCGTCCTGTGCTGCGTAGCTGCAGGGAGGAGAGGATGGCCGCAGGGCATGAGGGATGGGGTCAGATGGACGGCATGGGTGGAGGGCGAGTGGTGCCACGGGTATGCTGTTGATGGGTGCACGTTTGTGGGCATGTAGATCGGCAGATGGATGGATGGATGATTGCAATTTGCAAGCACTCACGGGAACATGTCACCAGTCTTGAGAGGCCACGTGGCATTGGCAGAGTGGAGGGCATCTAGATAGACGGAGGGAGTGGAGTAGAGCACGTTCACCCTCCCATCCTGTAACGCAGATCAACAATGGTTGCAGAACAGAAAAAAATAGATTTGGCTTGCAAGCAACTGCCACGTGGACGGGCAATAACCAAGCATATGAGCAACTGCCACTTGTCTACATTTGGTTTTGACAAGCTGCAGTGATTCCTGTTCTCTCAAAATGTTAAGACACGTGACATTCACGTATCCTGTGCCAAGCCAATGTTCACGTGAATAAAAAATTCTCTTGATTGAGACCAAGCAGATTCACATAGTGACCGTGTCCATGTTCTTGAACCACACGAAGATAGCCCACCCCACACATAGACATGGGCAAAATGCGATTGCGATTTAAATCGCATCGCATGCAGGTGCGATGATTTAATTTGCGATGCGATTTTAAATCGCATCGCGCGATTTAATTTTTGGAAAAAAATACATCGCACATCGAGTTTTGCCTGCGATGTATTTAAAAATCGCAAGCGATGATTTATTAAATCGCGCGATGCGATATAAAATCGCATCGCATTTGTAAACGTTTTCAAAAAAAAAAAAAAACTTTTGAAAACTGGAACACGTGATGGTGCGGGCATTGACGATTAAAAATACCGTTCAGAGTGGGTTTCACACAAATGCGAGCCCCGTGGTAAGGGCCCGACTTTCGTAGCTTAAAAAAAAATAGGTGCATGGGTTTCAAAAGGGGGGGGAGGGGGGGGGGAAGGGGGGAGGGCAGCTGCCAGCTGGATGGTGTGGGGAGGGCTTTGCAAATTTTCCCTATGTGCTGGCGAGATTTCGCGCTGCGATGTATTTCGACATCGCGCGCGATTTAATTTAAATCGCAAATCGCGTTTAAATCGCGATTTTCCGCTGCGATTTAAATGCGATTTAAATTAAATCGCGCGATAAATAAATCATCGCATCGCGCGATGAATTAAAAAAAAAAATACATCGCCATCGCAAATCGCGATTAATCGCGATGCGATGCGATGCGATGCGATTTAAATTGCTCATGTCTACCCACACACCATGCCATGCCATGCCGTGCCATGCCATGCCATGCCATGCCATGCCATGAGCCACACCCAGTGCAACAGCAGCTGACCAGGTTCACGTAGTGGATGAGCTTGTCCATGTTCTTGAACCACACAATGGCTCGGTCAAACGAGAAGTCCTCGCCCATGGGGAACAGGAGATGCTTCGTCTTGAACCCTTTCGCCTGGGTGGCGGGAGAGGGAAGGCGGGGAGGTAGAGGCGAGGGGGGGAGGGGAGACTAAGTGGGGGGCAGTCGGTCGAGGGGAGGGGGAAAGGGGAGGACTAAGTGGGGGGCAGTGGATCAAAGGAAAGGTCCTGAACCCTCTCGCCTGGGGGGCGGGAGAAGGAGGGGGGAAAGACGGGAGTGAGGGAGGGGTTGCTTCAGACGCAATGAGCCGGGCTGGGGGGGGTGAGATGAGAGTGCGCCACTCACATGATCCGACCTCTGCCACAAACTGGGCCAACTGGCCTTTCACATTGAGAGGCTTGCTCGCTGAGCCTCTTCTCTCAAAAGCACCCTACACACCTGTGGGCCCCACTTCAAGCGCCACTCACCTGTTTTGTCACCGCTGGTCTGCTACCACAAAACGATCTACTAAGTCCAGCACGTTGGTAGCCCTACTCTGCAAGTCTCGTCTCCGTCACGTGTGAGCCAAGCAGCAAGCCACGCCCACTTGCTCCACGTGCGGAAAGCATCCCATCCTGCACTCACCCTCATCGTCACCTCTGCCACAAATTGGTCCACCAGGCCCTTCACGTTGGGAGCCTCCCCATAGGGGTTGTCCTGAAGGGGAAGGGGGAAAAGAAGGGCCGGGCAAGAACGCAGGGCGACACAAGAGAGCGCTAGTGCAGGGAGGAGAGCGCTGAGCAGCACGCGGGCTAAAGAGGAGACAAAAGGAGCATGGATTGTCTCCTACAGATTGGTCCACCAGACCCTTTATTATGTTGGCAGCCCCTATATAGGGGTTGTCCTGATAGGGGCAAGAGAGAGAGAGAGAGATGGAGAGTGGGCGTGTTGTGGCGGGGAGTGGGGAGGGGAGGGGGTGGGGGCTGTAGAAAGAAGAGCGCTGAGCAGCATGCCGCTATCGAGGAGCACCCAGGGACGCAGAGGAGCAGCCAGGGGCACAGAGGAGCAGCCAGGGGCACAGAGGAGCAGCCAGGGGCACAGAGGAGCAACCAGGGGCACAGAGGAGCAGCCAGGGGCACAGAGGAGCAGCCAGGGGCACAGAGGAGCAGCCAGGGGCACAGGGGGATCATGGTTAACCCGCGTAGACTCGCACCTGCCAGTCAGACTCGTCTGCTTTTGCACGCTAGGCTGGTGGCATGCTCGTTGCTGCTAGCTGCTGCCAGGAACGTACCTGTAAGTGATAGCCACTGCCATCCGAGTCCTGGTAGCGGAATTGCTGCGGCGAGTAGTAGCCGTCATACGACACCATGCCCAGCACCTGCTGCCACAGGGGAGGCGAGGCGAGGAAGGTAAGGGAGTCGGGGAGGTGAGGGGACGAAGGGGGGGAGGGTGAGACGGGAGAGAGACAGTGGAAGTGAGGTTGGAAAGGACAACTGTGGGAACGACCGATGCGTGCGCATGTGTGTGCGCTGGGTACACACGCACAAGGTGCATGATTGCGCACAATGTCATGGGCCTTCCTGTGACATTGAAGCGGTACAAGGGGGGCCGCGCCTAGAGGTGGCATAAGGGGAAAGGCGCCTAGAGGTGGCATAAGGGGAAAGGCGCCTAGAGGTGGCATAAGGGGAAAGGCGCCTAGAGGTGGCAAAAGGGGAAAGGCGCCTAGAGGTGGCATAAGGGGAAAGGCGCCTAGAGGTGGCATAAGGGGAAAGGCGCCTAGAGGTGGCATAAGGGGAAAGGCGCCTAGAGGTGGCATAAGGGGAAAGGCGCCTAGAGGTGGCATAAGGGGAATGGCGCCTCTTCATGCCCATGAGACCGCGACCGGGATGGTGGGACCCACATGCAAGCCAGCACAAGAAGTAGCTTCACACACTGTCCCACGCTTGAATGGTTCTATAGTTCTCCCGCACTGCTCCTTCGTTTCACCCAACCAATCTTGCACCCATCCCATGCTCCCCAGCTTTCCAAGATCAGCACCACGTGCACCGCACCTGGCTGTCTCGCCGCGCTGCCCCATCCGCCCGCCACACAAACTCCATTGTCTTTGCAGCCATGCGAGCATGCTTCTCCTGCTGGTCCACCCGCCCTATAAACACCGCGTCCAGACCACACTGGTGAAGATGGGGGGCGGGGGGATCAGGGGGGGCGCAAGAAGTTGGAGCAGGACAGAGGTGGGAGGGGGATAGGGAACTGGAGGGGATGGAGAATTGCTTCTCCTGCTTGTCCACACGCCCTATAAACACCGTGTCTAGACCACACTGGCGGAGATGGGGGGGGAAGGGAAGGGGTGGGGGGGGCAGAGCAAGAGTGGACAGGAATGAGAGGGGATATGGAGTTGCAGGAGCGGAAGGCATGCTTCTCGTGGCTGTCCACCCTCACTGCGAACACAGCGGCTAGACCCTGACTGCTGGGGAAGGGGGGTGGGGGAAAGGGGGAAGTGGCAGGGTGGGGGGGAACAGGGTAGGGATGAGAGGAGGATAGGGAAGAAGTTGTAGGAATGCAAAGCACGATTCACCTTGGCAGCGATGAGGCTGGCTTGAGTGGCGGAGTGGCCGAAGGGGTCGATCTGCCATGCGATGCGCGGCGTGATGTTGAAGTTCTCTTTTATGAAGCGGTGGCCCATCGACATCTGGTGCACCATGTCCGAGTAGTGCGTGCACGCTTCGTCGTGCATCACCCACCCGCCGTTGCTGCACAGGAAATGCAGGTGCAGGGAAGGCATGTGAGGGGGGCTGTGGAGGATGAAGGAGTGGCCCATCAGCAACTCGTGTGGGCATGGCCGTGAAATGAGTGGGTGCGTCGTCGTCCATCAGGCATGCTTTGCTGCTGTGTGGAGATAAGGGATGTGCATGCGAAGGAAGATAGGAATTTGTTGGGATTTGGTATGGAATGCAACGATCCTCATATATTGAAATTGCTCGTAGAATGGGATAGATACGGTTTTACAGGAGCAGCTACCCTCCCTGTTTACCACATAGTGCAAAACTTGAACCAAAACTCGATTTTTCGTTTAGGCGCAAATGCTTGACTCACATGAACTCCAATTGACCAGAAGCCACTAGCTTTCGCACTTTTCCCCGCATCGGTTCCTGCTGCCGTTGCCACCAACGATAGAAAAATGCCTGCAGATATGCAGATTGATACAAAGAATTATACTGATGTGAAAAGATAAACTCTATGGGGTGAGCTATCTAGCTCCAAATATTGTATAAGGGAAAACGGTTGTACAAATACCATTTGACTGTAATATGTTTTTCGTAGCGCTTGTAACGCGAAAGCTCGGACGAGCGACCAGTTTTGCCAGAATCAATTGGACACAGTAACTCTACGCGAACCCTAAACGTCGATGAGGGCGTGGAGCTTACAGTTCCGGTTCTCGAAAAAACCGGAACTCGAGCTGGATACACAAGTCGCAGTTTACTTCGATAGGGTTTCGCGAATACCCTTCCGAGTAAAAGTTTCGCGAATTCCGGTACTAGTTCCAGATTTTCGAGAGCCGGAACTGTAAGCACCAATCCCTGAGCCCTGACTAAATAGTGATTATTTTCTTTAGTTGCCGTTCTGCTTCCGCCTATGTGACTAGACTTGATGAGGCCCCGAAACCGCGACTAGACTAGACGTTAGATCCACGACAGAGCTATAACGTAAGCAGCAGTGCAAAATAGTGGCAAACGTGGAGTTAATTAGTAGGGCTAGAGGGTATTTTCACCTGCTCGACTTGAATGAACTTGCGGTCGGGATTGTCCGAAAGCTGGTCGATAACGGTCTCGATGATGTACTGTACAGTGTCGTCCTGCAGAAACAGATGACCATAGCAACATGTCTTAAAGAAAGTTAGTCTATTAGGAGGCCCTGCTACGCTTGCCAGCTTGGAATGCCTTACATGATTATATTTTCACGCTGTTTAGCGAAAACCTTCAAGGTGCACGTACAAAGCTGGTCGGGAAACCCGAAATCAAGATGATTTCCCTGACCGCAGCATGTTGGGGTACTTACATAGTACTGGTCTATGGTTTTCAGCCAACCGAGGTCGTCGTGCGAGTGAGCCACCAAGTGTATGTTCAGCTTTCCTTCCACAACCGCAGCGCTGGTATTATAACGAAACGGTACATTTTCCTCAAACGAGGAAACGGCTTCATTCTGACCCGTGTTTAGGGTCTGCTCGATCTGAAGCGGCGCTGTTTCCTCGCTTCCAGAAGAGACTCTTAGGATGCGCGTTGACAGTGACTGCTGCAGTATCAGCAAAGTGAAGCCCGTGAGGATGCCTATAACGAACGGCGGCGCCAGCACTGCGGCTCGGTTACATGATGTCATCGCCGCCGCCACGGTCATCCTTAGGGACGGTTAGCGGCAAGAATGTATTGGAGCAGCTGAATCTTTAAAGCAGTGGCTCTGATACATTCAAATTGAGGATAATCGGGATATGTCCGGATTCTAGCTGCAGATTCTCCAAGCAAGGCTTGCACGCTCCTCCGTTTTGAGCCACCAACATAACATCCCCCTGTCTACAAACAGGCCGTTTGTTGCACAGCGATCAACGCTGGAGTTCAACAATATGCAACAGCATTGGCTATGGGCGTAGATTCCGCCGTGGGTCTGCGTTTTGCGAAACCACAAGACTGAGAAAACGTTCCAGGGGTGTACTGTACTGTACTTGCCGAGGGTGATACTGTATATCGCACTGTACAGGCATCATTTGGTGGAGGTCGGAGGCTGGAAGCGTACAGCCTCACACTTGCCTTGCCTTCCCTGTAACCGCACATGGAGAAAGCTGATGTCATTCCATGGCAGGAAATGGATTTGAGAACCCAGCGATGGACCGCGGTTTGGGCTGTCGAGTAGGCGGGTGACAATGACAATGACAAGTCTGTCGGTTCACATCATCTCTGTTGTCGGCTCGGTGTTGTTTGGGTACGGTACAGTCTGTACAGGTTTGTGCTGCTTTGCTGCATCCATCCAGACCAGTAGATCCACGCTTGTCCGTGAATTCTTGCCCAGGAAGGCTGTCTGTAATGGCCGAAAAGAGCGGGTGTGTGTACAGTATGATGTCAGAAAAGGCCTGGAGCATTTCTGCACTTCTATGTGTTGTTCGGGAGCCACTCAGAATCCAGCGAAACTTTTCAGATTCTGAAATTCCTCTGGATGCTGACGGCCGGGTGTCATTGTAACACGAGTACCGTTTTCGAAGAAATATTGTCCAAGGAAGACGCCCTGCTGTTAACAGTTGCCCATCAGACAGCAGCACCTGTACAAGGGGGCTGGAATGACAGCCGTTGTCCTCTCGGTACGTACAGTTGATGCCCAACCTTATCGCAGCTCAACCTGGCGCCCAATCAGAATCCGTTCCCAATCCCCCCGATATACGGGCAATGTGAGATCCGTTTGAGTCACTCATGATTGCGTCTGCCACCAGCACATAGCAAGGGACAAGTCGTTGACGACGAGGTTTCGTCGCCACGGAACTGTGCACCGCCGTCGCCTGATCGCTTCACAAGACTCGCACACTGGCAACAAATATCGCCACACAAGGGCCCCCCCACAAATACGCACCCATTTCGCCGTGTGCTCGTGCGAAAGCCTCATTTGCCCGTGGCGAGGGACAGCGAAATACTTGACCGATTGAATCCCCGGCACCCTAAAATATTGTGCGACACTGACGAGCTTCGCTTGTAACAGACTCTCCGCTTGATCTCACAGTAGTGCGTGATTTATCAGTGAAAGCACTATGCCGAAATTTAATGAACAGTGAATACAGAAGTGGAACGAAGAAAAACCTAGGGGAAAAAAATCAGGGGAAAAAACATCCGTTACATATCTTTGTAGGCTATGCCATACTCGCTATGGAGGGGAATTATATCGGCGCTCGGTATTAGGGGCCTCGATAACATGCACGGTCAGTGACACGATATAAACAATCTGAATTAACGATTTCGAAACATGTTTCATCACTCGGGCTCCACCATTAGTCAGAAACTGCAAGAAAAAAGTTCCACGAATGGTCAGTATAAGCAACCCCTGTCAACTTATACATATGTTTTATGTAGAAGTTATAGGCTAGATAGGGTTATGTTCTTAGAGAGTACAAACCCAACCCTTTATCTCCCTTTTTCTTGCTTGTTTCAATCCATTATAGTATTCTAACATGGTATCATGAATAGGTTAGGTCCACCCACCCACTTCCGCCCCGCGCCCTAGCCTACCGTGCCTCGCCGGCCCCTAGCGCGTCCACCGTCCCCTAGTGCGTCCGCCGTCCCCTAGTGCGCCTGCCGTTCCCTCGCGCCCTAGCTGGCTCCTCGCACCCTAGCCGGCCCCTCGCGCCCTAGTCGCCCCCCCCCCCCCCCCCCCCCCCCTCCTCCGTGCCTTCGTCGGCCCCTCGCGCCCTAGTCAGCCCCTCGCGCCCTAGCCGGCCCCTCGCGCCCTAGCCGGCCCCTCGCGCCCTAGCCGGCCCCTCGCGCCCTAGCCGGCCCCTCGCGCCCTAGCCGGCCCCTCGCGCCTTAGCCGGCCCCTCGCGCCCTAGCTGGCCCCTCGTGCCCTAGCCGCCCCCCTCCTCCCCCACCCTCGCGCCCTAGCCGGCCCCTCGCGCCCTAGCCGGCCCCTCGCGCCCTAGCCGGCCCCTCGTGCCCTAGCCCGCCCCTCGCGCCCTAGCCCGCCCCTCGCGCCCTAGCCGGCCCCTCGCGCCTTAGCCGGCCCCTCGCGCCCTAGCCGGCCCCTCGCGCCTTCGCCGGTCCCTTGCGCCCTAGCCGGCCCCTCGCGCCCTAGCCCTCCCCCCCGCGCCTTCGTCGGCCCCTCGCGCCCTAGCCGGCCCCTCGCGCCTTAGCCGGCCCCTCGTGCCCTTGCTGACCCCTCGTCTGGTCCTGTCGTTGCCCGTAGTTACACTACACTTCTCTATCCTTCGGGTTCCCTTACAGGCCTTCACATCCCTTCGTTCTGCAGGAACTCAGGACCTCAGTGCCACTACGTTTCCTGGTCACGAGCGGTTTGCTGTCTGTACCAAGGCCGCCTCAGGTACCCCCCTTGCGACATTCCCCTGGGACCCCGTGTCTGGCCTCTTTACGCTGGACACTGCTTCCCCCCGGCTGGCGCGACCTCCCCATCCCCTTCGTCAACCCTAGTCGCTGCTGCTTGCTCGTGTCGGTCGCTCACTCACCCGTCGCTCCTGTGGCACCACCGCCTAGGTCACCCCGCACTCCCGCGTCTACGTCACATGTCTTAGCACGGTCTCGTCCCAGGTCTCCCTGCGTCGCTTCCTGCCCTCCCTCCTTCGCCTTCGCCGCCGTGTACGCCCTGCATCGAGGGCCGGCTGCGCCGTGCTCCTCACTCCTCCTCGCTTCGCCCTGCCACCGCACCTCTTCAGACCCTCCACCTAGACGTTTGGGGCTCTGCCCCCATCCCCGAACCGCGTCGCGAGCGCTACTTTCAGGTGATTGTCGACGACTACACGCGTTACACCACGGTGTTTCCCCTGGAGCGGAAGGCCGACGTGCATGATGTTCTTGTCCCGTGGGTTGTAGCTGCGCGCGTCCACCATGGTCTCCCTGTGCTGTATCTCCACTCCGACCGTTGTGGCAAGTTTGCCTCTGGTTGGCTTGGAAAGTTCTGTCGTATGGAGGGCGTCACCCAGTCGTACACCCTGCCGGACTCCCCGCAGCAGAATGGGGTCGCTGAGCGATGCATTGGCTTGGTCATGGAGGTGGCTCATACCTCCATGATTCATGCCGGTGCACCCCATTTTCTGTGGCCATTTGCCGTTCGCTACGCCGCTCACCAGCTTAACCTGTGGCCGCGCTCCCAGCGGCCGCAGGTTTCGCCAACCCTCCTCTGGACCGGGTCCCCTGGTGACACGTCTGTGTTCCACGTCACGGGTTTTCTTGCTCACGTTCGTGTCTCTGGCACGGATAAGTGCACTGCCCGCACGGTCCCCTGTGTCTTCCTTGGTTTCCCCCTTGACTCGTCTGACTGGCACTTTTACCACCCGCAGTCTCATCGCTTCCTCCACTCGTATGACATCACTGTCGACAAGTCTGTCTCCTACCACCGCTTTCCCCATCGAGGTCTCCCGGTCTCCCATCCTCTGTTTCTGATTCCCACTCCCCCGGTAGCCCTTGCCCCCCTCCCTCCCTGTCCTGCCCAGTCTGGTGTGTCTCACGTCACTCCCCTCCAGTCGGTTGCCCCTGCCGAGGAGTCTGCTGACTCTGGTGGCCCTGCAGCGTACAGCGACGGAAAGTATTGTCCACATGTTTGTGACTTAGAGGAATTTTGCCATTTTAGGGGGTCATGGACATTAAGACTTAATCTTCTGGTGTGCCAAATGTATGTAGGTTGGGGTAAGGCTCCACGCCTATGCCTTACATCACACAAGTATAATGATGTTTACAACAAATACTAGAAAATAACAATCTTGGTACATGTGGACAATTATTGCCAGGCGCAAGCAGCAAGTTACATCAACCCCAAACTAGTACCTAATCCACCGCCCTTTCGCCTTAGACACCGCCCTCACCCTCCTGGGCATGCTTTCCACCAGGTGGGTGCACACATCCGCCGGGATCTTCTCCCATTTCTCCTGCACCCGCTCCCAAAGGTCCAGCATACCAGTGGGAGGCTTATAAGGCTTGGCCAGCTGCCTCTTGAGATGAGCCCATAAATGCTCCATTGGGTTGAGGTCGGGTGAGGAAGACGGCCACTCTAGCACCCCTGAATCTTACTCTCAAAGCCACTCCTGTACGATACGCGACTTGTGCTTCGGGTCGTTGTCGTGCTGGAAGATAGTTTTTGAGGGTGTAAGCTGGTAAAGCTCAATCGTACTGTTGAGATCGTCCTGCAGTATACTCAGCGAGAGCAGTCCGTCCACCCTACCATATGTTTTGCTCATGAAACCCGCTCCCTTTTACGACATGAAGTCGTAAATTATCAAGCAACCGGCCGCGTGTTTGACGGTCTGCTTGATTTGGTGTCTTTGGAGGGCAGTCCCTTCGTGAACGCAGGCGTATGAGAGTCAGTCGGATGCAAGACGACCGATCTTGGTCTCATCCGCACAGATAACTCGCTTCTAGTCGTCAACCGTCCAGTCTGCATGGGCACGCGCCCATTCCAGCCTATCGCGTATGTTTTTCCGAGAGTGTCGCGGTTTCTTGGGATGCTTGATTGCGACAAGTCGGCTCCCATTCAAAGCGTTACGCAATGTCTTAGGATGCAACGTGATGCCGTGCTGCTTCTCAACGATTTTCGCCACGTGAGCGGAGATTTCTGCCTCCTCGAGGGTAATCGATCGAACTATGCCGCGGCGAACTCTCTCTGTCACTAAGCGAGGGCGACCGGCTGAGGGCATCATAGGACGCACGTCATCGCGGCTAGACTCTACAATCGCCTTGATGGGCCGAACTCTTCCCTATGGCTAGCTGTTTAGCGATTCAACGATTGCTCTACCCCCTCCGCAACAAGGGAATGATCTATGCGTAGAGCGCCTCATCTAACGGTTTCATGACGGCCTAATCATCGCAGCGGTCCTAGCCTATCTCCTGACTACTTGATAGTCGCGAGGGCAAGTAAGAAGAAATAGCGAGTTTAGGAAATAGATCTACTACGCTGCTTGGCCTAAACTGTCCGGATGCACCCACGCGGACGAAATCTCGTCCTCGGTAAAAAATCGACCCCTATAAAACTGAAACCAGCATCCGTCACCTACAGTATAGTACTACTTTACATCCAACCCCGAAATTTGATTCGTAACTAAACAAAGAAGGCACCAAACCAGTACGAGAAATGTTTTAAGGCAATTATCCGGGCAATACTTTCCGTCGCTGTAGTTCTCGCCGCCTGCCCCTCCCTCGGTGTCTCCTCCTCCGCTGTCACAGTCGCCGACGCAGCAGTCGTCGTTGCAGCCAAAGCAGCAGC